ACAGCACAGGTTAAAAATGAAATAAGAGATAGCAGCATAAGCATATTTTTAAAGAATTAAACAGAAAATCTATTGATTGTGATTGCTTGTGGGTATGGGGAAATTGACACGGAATGTCTCATTATGAGCCATTTTATTTGATTTTCTACCACATGAACATATTTGGTTGATTACTACTTAAGTTTTTGGAAGAATATGTTGCAACCAAATGGGTCTTTGAAGGGGAATAAAGAATTATGTTTTTAAATGAGATAGAAGTTATACTTGAAGCATCAGATCAAGTCAGTATTAAATAATTTGGCAAGAGTCGGGGCTCTAAGCTTCAAACAATTCTTGTTAGCAGAGGGACTACATAAGGAATTGGATTATTTATCTTGAGTTAGGTAGTAAGGTAAATTGTAGCCAGTGAGGTTAACAGATTCCAGCTACAAATAATCAAAATACTACAAATTTTGAAATACGGCCCAGGAATTAGAGAGCTGAGGACTAATACAAAAATAAGGACCTGTTCCTCCAGCTTGTCTCACCAAAACTGTGCTAAAATATGTATCATTGTTATTAAACCATCACCCAAACCCAGTGGGATTCATTGTGTTCAAACTTACTTTACATTTGAAAATAACAAAACATGTGTGATTACCTTTCAATTCAATAAGTTCTCATTCGTGAGTAGTTTCTGCTAGGTGCTACTGATGGGTCATGTTACTGACTACCAAGGCTTCTAAGTTTTATTCTAGGGTGGGGAAGGATTAGGGGAAGTGAAAGATGTATAGCAATTCTTGTTAAATTAAGAATAGGACAACGAGGGCCACATTTTTTAGACGTGGTTCAGATAGAATTGACTTCAGCTTGGTTACACTTTGTTGCTAATTTTAACAACTTGTTTCACAGATTTTTTTTAAAGGTGGAATTGATTGGGATAGAGAGCTTGGAAAGTTTTTCTTTTCAGGCAGTTGGCATGAAACATTTAGAATTTGTCAACAGAATACTACTTGTGGAGAGCTATGCCATTATTCAGTTACGGGTTCAAGTAGACTTGGAACAGATTTATTAAGCTCCATTATGGGTTGGAGGGGGAATAATTATTTATATTGCAATCTAAAAAAACAATCCATTCTAGTGTAGATGATATGGCAAGCACCAAAGGAGCTACGACTACTCATCTGGATCACTTGCTCTTATATTTGAGATGAAAATGAGCATATCCTGGAGTTGCTTGACATGAAATGAGAAGTATGACATTATATCTGCAGATTAATTTGACCTGATGGGTGAATAAAATTTAAGCAGAACTGCCATATTTCAACTTGCCTACTTCAGTTGTACATATATTTATTTGCTATCCAGAGATGGGAATTATTTGATGGGTGAACCTACTTATTGAAAATAAGGCATCCTTAGTAATAATAGGCTAGTATCTAAAAAGTACAGTTTATATTCTTTGAAATGAAATGATAATAGGCCTAATCCAATCTCATCAAATAGAAACAAAAGGATATGTTGGGGGTGGGGTGAACCGGCCGTGTTTATACAGGTTTTCACATGACTTTTCTTTTAAAAAGGGCATGGAATGCATCCAAAACAAGTAATGTTTTGTTAGAAGACCAAAAGAAAAATCCTAGAGAAAGGAGGATGGATGATCTTTCTTTAATGTCAAAACTGACATAAACACACTCCCCTTCCCCCACCCTTTTGCTCAAGATAATTTTCTCAACAAGATGCAGATTGCTTCAGTCTTTGCCTATCACCCTTTGAAGCACTTTCATTATTATTAGGAGTGGGGGCAAGGTTTCCTTTGAGGATTTTTACAGCAGTGAAGAGCTCCTTCTTTAAATAGTTTCACATGATGAGGGAATTTCGCTTTCAAAGTGCTGTCATCACTGTGGCTTCTCTGCCATAATACAGTTTATTACTGGGGGAAAGTCCTTCTTGGTTTGATTGTCATTAAGTACTTACCTTTCTGATGTACTCTTTCTATAGAATGTCACTTTTTCTGAGAAAGCTTAGCAAAGCAACTCAGCATTCTCCTTTGTTAACCCTATTGGCCCAGTTGGCCATGATTCTCTTTTGAAATGTGTTTCATCATAGGAAGCACAGTCTCCAGCATGGTTTCTCCTGTCCATCTCCACTAATCAAGATTTGGGTTGACATACTGAATATTCCATTTTGAAATCTGCCATTTCTTCTAAAGGGCAAAGGGACATGTGAGTTTTGGGGAGCTTTGAAATGTCTTTCTTTATTTTTATTTTTTGAGTGTCTCTTCTAATGTTTAAATACTGCCATGGTAAACAACAAACTATTCAAGCATCAACAGTTTCCCAGAAACACTGAAATCTTTTGAGACCTCCACTCTGTTTCACCCTCCGTCATCCTGCTCTATTCTTGAACATAGTTTTCTGGAAAATTCTGTGCATATCTAATTCAGGAAGAAAAAATTGAGGAAGAAAGTGGAACATAAGGAGAGTCCTAAAGTCAGAATATTCATATCCTAGTTTAGGCTCTGCTACTTGCTGCCTGTGTAACCTTGGCAGGTAACTTATCCTTCTGCTCCCTCCCAACCCTAAAACCCTGTAAAATGAGCGAACTACATGAACTTCATGTTTCTCCTCTCCTAAATATGCAAGAGTATACCTCTCCCCTACATAAAGAAGCTTAATTACAATGATTGAGCCAAGTTGGATACTGCAGTGAGAAACTAGCACTGATATTTCCTGAGTTAGTCTGTAAGGAGTATAATTTTATTCTTTTTCTTTCTTGCAGAACTCTCTGATGTTCTGTGATTATTTATCTCATTTGCTTATTTACTGCTAACTGGAAATAAGTTTAAGAAACATTTGAGTTGTGCCTTTGTACTAGACACTGTGTTAGGCAATGAGAATATTCAGATCAATGAGTTTAGACTCTGCCTTCAAGGTGCTCGCTACTTAGTAAGGGAGGAAAGCATGAAAATAAATTTAAATCCAGGGTGATTCCTAGAATAAGATAAATAAATATAAGATGCAATGTAGCATAAAGGAAAAATATATATATATATATATATTTCTCTATACCTATTTTGAATTCTAGGATTAGAACTATGTGGTGCTGGGGTAAGGTAGCTTTATGGTAAATTTAACACAACAATGAAACTCCTAAACCTGTTTACTACTGAATCAAACATATCCCTCCCATAATATTAGTTGCCTTAAATTGCAATTTAATGAGTTATGCCCTTGAGGGTTAAAAAGGAAAATATGGAATGCTTTCTTTCTTTTCATAGATAAATGACTTTATTTTTCAATGTCCTCAAATATCACCGTTAAACCTATTTTCACTAGCAATTGGCACTTCTGTCATTAACAAAGAAGAACCCCTAAATGTGTCAAGTAACCATTGTAAACCAAATATTATAGCCTAGAATATATTCAAATTCCCTTTAGAATTTAGAAAATGGGAAGAAATTCATTTTCTTAAGAATGCTAGTATGTCTCAGCATAACTATTTTTGTGAAATGTTATAGCCTGGAAGGTTCAGGTTTTCCTGATGCTTTGTCGCAATTTTGAGCTCAAATCAAGGAATTAGAAAGTGTTAAAACTCTTGGTGTTAAATCCAGCACTGACTATGAATACTATACTCTTGCATTGTAAGGGACGAAGGAACTTGGGGGATTTGGCCTAATATGTTTTGTTTGAAACTGAAAATCATATTGTTGAAGTTTGCATTCTGTTTTTTTCAATAGGTGTATTAACACAAAGTACTAAGTTCTTAAAGGGCTTCTTCCTTTCTGCAGAAGTAAATTTGGCTTGTGAAAAAGAAAAAAAATTGCACCAGCAATTCAGCAACATCACCCCTCTTTCATCATTTTAGGGGTTCAAGTTTCAGCTCAGTAACTCCAGACATATTTTGGGGAAACATAAAAACATGCCCATAAGTACTGAACATAAAACCTGACCATACACTGAAAACATTTGTACAGTCTTATGATCCACTTACCATCAAGTTTCTTTTTTTTTTTGAGATGGAGTTTCACTCTTGTTACCCAGGCTGGAGTGCAATGGCGTGATCTCGGCTCACCGCAACCTCCGTCTCCTGGGTTCAAGCAATTCTCCTGCCTCAGCCTTCCGAGTAGCTGGGACTACAGACGTGTGCCACCGTGCCCAGCTAATTTTTGTTTTTTAGTAGAGACGGGGTTTCACCATGTTGACCAGGATGGTCTCGATCTCTTAACCTCGTGATCCACCCGTCTCGGCCTCCCAAAGTGCTGGGATTATAGGCGTGAGCCACCGCGCCTGACCACCATCAAGTTTCTTAAAGTGTGCATATAGTTTTAAAATCACTAGAATCAATAAAAATTGGAAAAAGATGCTCTGTGAGAAGAGGTGCTACCTAGAGATGTCTGAGGAGTGATGCTCTATGAGTCTCTCCTATGAAGTGAGCAAGCTTCTTGCCCATGAAAATAGATAGATGCTATGATTTCCAGATAGCCCTTGTTCCAGGAAATTAGATGAAAAAAACAGGTGACAACAGGATAGTCTTTTTTTTTTTTTTTTTTAATATTTTAACTGTCCAAACTAAGTACTGAAAAAACTTGCTTTCTAAGGAGGCATGGAATGGTTGAAAAGTTAACAGCCAGACCAATTGATTGTGTTTTAGAAAACATCATAATGGAAGATAGTGCTTCAGGGCCATGCCCAGTGACTCTGAAGACAAAAGAAAGAGTGGTGAGAGAAAGCTGTCTAAGTTCAAGGATGCTCTAGAAAACTATTGGATGGTCTAAGAATGTCTCATGAAGCACCAAACCCCAATGGAACTGTAATCTGAATGTGAGGAAGGGTTAAAAAATAATTGTACTCTCGTAAAATATATTTTCCTTCAGCTTTTTACCTTTCTTTTTCAGGTTGAAAAGTTAAACAAACACTAAGAATTTTAATTATTTGCTTAGTATTTCTTTAAAATGCATTCTAACCCAAGGCTATATATCTCTTCTCTCTGCTTTGATTCCTGTGCCTGCTGTTCTCCAGGTTGGCCTTCATTCCACGATGTGATCAGTTCTGAGGCAATCACATTCACAGATGACTTTTCCTACGGGATGCACAGGGTGGAAACAAGCTGCTCTCAGGTGAGTTCATCCTCTCTGGAAACATAATACGCTGCTTCCTCTGCACTGCAAACACTTTCAGGACTCCTGGTGGTGCTAGATATAGCAAATAAGGCCAAGTGGCTGGTCACAAGAAGGACAGACAAGCATGATGAAGTCTATATGAAGTTTGAGGGTGCCTATGTTCAGGTGTTTAGCAAGTCTAGTGGAATGTCAGGGCCAGTGTGATATCTCACGCCTGTAATCCCAACACTTCGAGAGGGCCGTGGTGGGAGGATCACTTGAGGCCAGGAGTTCAAGACCAGTCTGGGCAACATAACAAGACCTCGTCTCTACAGAAAATATTTTAAAACTTAGCAGGGCATGATGGCATATGCCTGCACTTCCAGCTACTCAGGGGGCTGAGCCAGGAGGATCACTGGAGCCCAGTAGGTTGAAGCTGCAGTAAGCTATGATCATGCCATTATACTCCAGCCTGAGCAAGAGAACAAGGCCTTGTCTCATAAATAAATAAATAAATAAAGTCAGTTATTGGCTTCACCACTATTAAACAAAATCATTGGTAGGAACAAAATCATCTTCAACTGGCTCAGTAAAGTGAAGAGTGTGCTGTTCTTGGGGCATATGAAGATTTCATTATGTGGCTTTGTATAACCTGACGTTTTGATAATCTCCCTCACCTTACAGTTCTGTGTACCCACTTCAGTCAGAATGCCTCTAATGGCAGTGATCCAAACGTATTAAAGGAAGACCTCAGAAATGGCTTTTCTTAGGTGGGTGTGAAAAAGCTGGTTGAAGAGAGGATGTGGGAAGTGAAAGTTCAGTGGTAGGTCAGCTATATGAGATAAGGTAATTCCTTTTCTGCTTCTCCTAATGTAAAGACATCCTCATTTCCAAGGATTTTCTAATTAGTTCCGTCCGTTCTGCTCTAATCAAATTAATGCTGGCTCTAATGAAGCAAGTGAACATGTGTTGAGGAGGAGGCAAAACTAGTTAATTCGACACCCACAATTGAGAGACTTGAACTTGTGGGTATTTTGTGCTTAAACACAGAGACATAGAATCTCCTTCTACATGGAATAAGAGCAGCTCCATATTCTACTGAAGGCAGTCTTGTTCTTCCAATCTGTTTTAAATAAGTGAAATGTTAAGTCTGCAACATTGTGGCATTGAAAGTTATTGACACCACAAGGTATTTTGTTGAGGAATCTATTGGACATATCAGCAGTACAGGGCATAATCAGGCAGCGGTAATAGCAAAGTGATTGCCATATGGGCCTCCCTCAGCATTCTTTACCTGCCCTTTATCCATTTTTCTTTAACCCCCTCCACCAGGCACAAGATTTCTAGGGAGTAGATGGAATATTTACTACCAAGTTGGGAGGGAGATTGGTTTTAACCTAACCATCTGATGAATTTTTGTTTTTATTAAAAAAAGAAAAAAAAAAAAAGACTGGCAAGTTACCTATCCTCCAAGTGTGAGGACTACTCTCTGTCTTGAAAATTAGACTTCATATTTTATCTGAATCACATTTTCAGCTCACTCTTGTTTCTCAGAATGGAGTCTCTGATGGTGATAATAGAACTTTCTGGTGCTGGGTTTCACCCCCAGAGGGTCTAATGTAATTGGATGGGTTTAGTATGGGCAGCAGCATTTTTAAAAGCTTCTCTGGTTAATGCTCACAATAACCTTCAGAGGTAGGTTCTTTTTTTCTCTGTTATTTTACAGTTGAAATGGAGGCACAAAGAGAGCAAGTAAACTTGGGTCAGTTTATATGGATTTAAGTGGCAGAGCTGAGACTTGAATTAAGGCACTCTCCAGAGCTCTTTATGGTGCCACATAGATAGACAGATTGAAAAGAGTCATTAAAATTTAAAAATCCCGTGATCTCCCAGCAGTTGGCTTAATGCAATTTAATTTTGGGGGGGTTTTGTTTGTTTGTTTTCTGAGGTGGGGTCTTACTCTGTTGCCCAGGCTGGAGTGCGGTGGCACGATCTTGGCTCACTGCAAACTCCACCTCCTGAGCCCCAAAGCAATCCTCTGACCTCAACCTTCTCAGTAGCTGGGACCACAGGTATGCATCACCACACCCAGATAAGTTTTTGTATTTTTGGTAGAGACAGAGTTTCACCATGTTGCCTAGGCTGATCTCGAACTCCAGAGCTCAAGTGATCCACCTGCCTCAGCCTCCCAAAGTGCTGGGATTACACGTGTGAGCTACTATGCCCAGCCTGCAATTTTGTTTTAAATTCAATTAAATTTAATTGATGATTTTATAACTGTCACTAAAAGAAATTGAGATTATCTGCCCAATAATCTAAAATATTTCACAAAATGGTAAACTATAAGTAGGAGGGCTCACATTAATTTGTAAATTAGGTACACAGTACTTAGCCTCTTTTAAGACTAGCAGTTGCTTCTTTTATTTTCTTTTTTAAGCTACAAATGCTGTTACATGATTGTTTTTTCTTGTTTTCACTCAGAACCTATTTTCAAACATTGAATCTTATAAAAACTAAATTTAAAAGGTACAGAAAAAATGAAGCATACGATATTAACTTTCCTTATGGCCCTACTCTCTAATAGATTTGTGACTAATTCTTATAATTCACTGTTGGAATATACTTCTTTCTTAACATCAGTAGTAGTCTAGGAAAGATCATTATGAAGATGTCCTTACAGTGACCAGTGACCAAAGAGAAATGAAACCCACAAACAATGCCAACATTAGGCAACATTCCTAAAAGAATGTTAAACCAAGCATGCTTGGTCAAACCAAACCAAGCATAGCTGTTGGCCCCGTGGTTAAAGCCTGAGGTGACTGTTCCTGTTCTTTCCTAACAGTTGTGTGACAAACCAACACTGACCTGCTCCCTTTTGGCTTCTTTTTTCACCACACTCACTTCTCATATTTCGAAAATGTTTGACCCTTTCTTAACTAGAACTCTTAAATTTAAAGAAAAGAGGGAGAGGAATTTGTTCCACTAAGGTACGTATAAAAATACATGCTTTATAGTGAAGTAAGTTCCGTGTAGGAGAGAATGAGGTTCCAGCATGTAAAGAATGGTACGTGTGCCAGACACGTGCCCTTGTGGATGGAGCAGGGGATGTCTGCCACCTAAACACAAAAAAACAGCTTAACGAATTCAAGTGGACTGGGTATCTTCCATTTCAGTTTCTCTGTCTTTTATTTATGTACAATAATGCACATTTATTTTCCTTTTGTTTTACGATTTTCTTTAGTTTTTTTTTTTTTCCTTTTTGTCAGGCATCTTTTCTTCACCTTGACTTGATAAAAGATTTAATTGTTCCCATACTAGAGCAACCACTTGTATTTTATTTCCTAGTTTCTCATTTTGCACTATTTTTCATTATCTTTTTACCTTCTTTTACCTTATAGTTTTTCAGTTCATGTAGTCGCTTCTCCTGCTCAAAACTTCTCCCATTTTTGAAGATGTTCTTTTTCTTTTTGCTGGTGAGATAGTGTGGGAAACTTCTCTGGTTTACTCTCTTTCTAAAATTCTTGTTGTATTTTGAATTTACGTGGCTTGTCTTTTCTCTGGACTAAATTGCATCAATATGGTTTGTGTTATAAAAAAATTATTAGATGCTTTTAGTATGTTGTAGACAATTTCAGTTGGATATGTTATGTGGCATATTTCTTTCTTTGATAAAGATGAAATATTGAAATAGGAAGAACCTTTAACTGCCAACTTCTAAAAATGAACAGAGCCTTCACAGACAAAACCTAAATTGACCCAACCTGCTCAGCAGTTTGTCAATATGGCAGTATTTCTTTGTTCTTTTGGTTCCTACGTAATTCTCACTTTAGTGCTTAGGATCCTTTTTTAAAAAAATTGTAGTGGGGATGACACTATGCATGCAGTGAATTAGCCCTCATATTTGCGCAGGAATTGTAGATTCACTGGGAGCTAATAGCCTACTGCCTCTTTACAGTACATTGTAAAGAGGTTTGTCCATGTGTTCAGTGACTTCTCAGATAATGTTTTTAGTAAAGTTTTACTGAGAGAGTTAAGATTGGCTCAGTCCTGTCACCACCTTTTCTAGAAGTCTTGCAGTGAGGTTCTTCTAAAAGAATTGTTATATAGGAAACAACATACTGCCTAGTCTTTGCATTGACAGCACAGAAAATAAGCAGGGGTGGGAGAGATTCTTCACTGTTTCCATTACAATTGCTGCTTATGAAAACTTGCTGATTTTTGTTGCAATTGTATTCGTTCTCTTTTGTTATTCCACCTACTGAGCTGAGAAATTACATTTCAGTTCTCTTCCAAAGAGAATCTTCATCTTTAGTTTGCTCGCTTTGTGGGCACATATATTTTCCCTTCAGCAGCAGCCATTTTGTAACAATTTTCGGCTCTAAAGAATTTTCCTTAATTTAACTTATATTTTAAGTTAGTGATAAAATACATTGCTTCTATTCCAGTTTCACTGACTACTATGAATAATCACTTGACAGCCTCTCCCTAATCCTTCAACCCCAGCCTATTAAGCAATGCTTTGTCAGGAGTTTAAATTCAGTGCAAAGAGGTAAGATTTCCATGGTTTAAGCTGTAGTTCAGTGAAGTAAGTTCCTTCTAGAATACTTGGGGAATTCTTTCTTCTTCAGATCAAAATTCTACATCTGGAGCAAAGGGGAGTCTAATAAATCACTTAACTTTTGTAATAATCTTTAAGGAAACCATCAGATCTCTTGAATTTACCCACGTTGGAGTCTATTTATGAGTGCTGCTATTACTGTTGAGTCTATGGTATAGTCCCTTAAGTTTAAGATCGTTATTAATTTGTTCTAAGTCAGCCAAATCAACAGAAAGGTAAATATGCACCAATAGAAAGCATTTGTCAAAAGTTAAGCAGTTTTTGGTAAAACCTCCAAACCTTATTAATCTTCTGCAGATGACAACTCATATATTGCTGATGATTAAAGATACCCATGTGTTACAATAGGGCTTCAGACTCACAGCCCATCTCTTTTTCTTGATCTTTCAGTAAAATCATAATGCTAAACTGGTGACTTCACAGTCATTTCCTTGGCAAAAGATTAATATCACAAGCACAGAGGAAAAAAGCCCCCACTTAAACACAAGTGTCTTCAATAACAGTGGGAGAAAACAGAATACTACTGGCAAAGTAAATTGCTTTTCTTCTTAAAACTGTTTTCTCTTTTCCATCCTGCCCCATGTGCCCAAGTGTAAAAGCCCTGCTTTGAAAGTGCTTCATGTCATAGATCAAACACTTAAGAGAAAATGACAATAATAAAGCCTAAACATCCTAGGAATAGCTAGAAGAAACCCTCTAAGACAGTGGGAAATACATCAGTGCGGAAAAATGTAACTGTGTTGAGTACACTGTTTGTGTTTCTAGGCATACAATTGAGAACTGCAGTTAGATTTTAAGGAATTATGTTAAATTTGATGCTCAAATACTTACTTTAGGGGGATCCTTTTCCTTGGTTCTCTGCAGATTCTTTAGCTGCCAGATTTTCTGAGAGGAGGCTTAGGTGATAAAGGATTCTTGTGAGAATTCAGTTGTTTTCTTTTGAACAATGCTCTTCAGAATGAAGACTAGAATATCCAGGTACATTTACCTGTGAAATAAAGAAACACATAAGCATTAAAAACAATGTTCAAAATTCACACTAAGGATTCCATCCTGAAATAAATCATTAACAGCAGGTCTCAGAGATTTCTTCATCGAGCAACCAGTTTGTTTCAGTTACAACCAGGTGTGCTGAGAGATCCCAACACATTGCCAGTTTGCTGGGCCCTGGGAGGCAGAGCTTGCAGGCAGTTAAAGAAACAATGCATCACTGACAACTTCCATTTATCCTCCCAGCTTTCCCAAGGCTAGAAGCTGCAAAGAATGGACTCCATGCTCGACCTCTCAGGGAGGAGCCATTGGGGCTTGTGTGCTTTTCAAAGAAGCCGGGTAACATTCCTTTCTGGGAGACTAGGTTTACCTGGGAGGAGGCACAAATGGCACTGTGTAAGTTAGGCTTCCCTCAGACAAATGGCTTTGCTGACAGTGGGGTGGGCATGTGTGTGGTGCCACAGATCAGATAAACTCCTTTCTATGTTCTGAGATGCTGCTTCTCCCTCAGTAACCTAACGCTGCTGCGACTCTTCCAGAATACTCTGTGGCAAGTATAATGAAGCCGTAACTATCATTTTCAGGGGACTCAGTTTCTGAGGATTTTTCTACCCCCATCCTCAACCCATATATCTGTTAGCAAATGGTTTTTATTGTCTTTTTCTTACTATAATTTCTCTTCCTCACTTCTCCTTTTTCTTTTGCTTTGGATTAAGGACACACCTAGAATCAGTGTTTTCCATTCTATTTAACCAGAATACTAGTTCCAGATTAGCAAATGAAACTACAGGTTGAAAACAGACCCAGTTCAACAGATTCAGTTACTGTAATTTGGATTTTTAAAATACGATTTGGGAAATTAAGACCATATAACTTAAACACCTTCAAATATATCCTTACTACAGTTTATTTTTGGTGTGGTACAAATAGAACTATTTTCTCAAGATGCTCAAGAGATTATTAGCAAAGGCAATATTATTTATTTTTCCCAACTAGCTGTATTCTCTCATTAGACACACACATACACACACACACACACCCCCCAAGGCTTTTAGGTATATGAAAACTTCATCTCTTAAATGCCAAATGCTCTAAGTGTTGGGGCTGCATCTGAGATCAATAATTGTGCACACACACTGGTCACCGAGAGCACTAGTTCCTGTTGGACAGCACTTTGACTATTTTGACAGGCAGAAATGGGGGTTTTCCTGTGTCCATTGGGCAAGCATATGTATTTTTACTGGTTCATCTTAGCTGTGGATGCCTAAAAATTTGGCATCAATTGTTTATAGAAAGGAAAAGCAATCTGAGCTGTCAGCCTTGATATTACCTAAACCTGCATAAAATGTGGTAAAATAATACAAGATTTGTTTTTTAGGCCTGTTTCGTATTTTCTAGGCAATAGATCAAATCAGTTCAGGGTTCATTTTTAGCTCTTTAATAAACTGACACAGTATGCTGGCAGTGAAATGAGAATGCACTTTTAACATGGAAGTGCCATACAGTCAAAGTTGCTATTTGTGCTATTTATTAATAACTAGGGAATGCTTGAGCACTGAGCTTAGCATGTTCAACAGGGAAACTAAGATTTTAGCGCTTTTCATTGTAATGAGCACTTTCCCTCATTTTTCTCTTTTCATCTCCATTTGGAATCTCAGCCCCAGTCCCTTGTCACTTCATACTCTTTACTTGAAACTTATGTTTTATACACCAGACCAGCACAGTGAGAATTAACAAATCATTGACATGCCTTTTCTCTCATACGGTTACCTAAATCTTGACTCTTCCGTCTCCTTGAAATGCCCTCCCCTAGAGATTCACTTCTTCCAGGTCCTTATTCCAAAGTCACCCCAGGGAGCCCTCTCTCAACCACCCTATCTGACATTTCATATCACCTTTTTTTTCCCCTCCTTAGCATTGCTTTCTACCTTTCATTCTTTATAGTTCACTTGTTTTTTGTGTGTGTACTCCCTGTCTCTCCCACTAGAATATAAGTTCTATGAGGCCAGGGATTGTTGTCTGCACTCCAGAGTCTCTAACAGTGCCCAGCACGTAGCGGGCACTCCATAAATAAGTGAATGAATGGAAGTCATTTACCTCAGGCTTTGGTTTTATTGTTCCACGATAAGTGATGGATTTTCACAGCCTGCTTGTGAATATGCTGCACCAGTGTCTCCATCTCCTTCACCCCATCCCTGCTGGAAAAGGGTAGGAGATATTCGGAGTGTGAGATGTACCTTCATCTCCCGAAGCTGTACCCAGCATCAAAGCACTTAGTGCAGAGCTATTCACTGAGCCATTTTTTTGGATAGATTTTCTTGGAGCTGAATTTCTCTCAAACATCAAAATGATGCTCCTTCTGCCTCTGTCTAGACCTTAGATCTCTTCTTCCCCAGCTTTTGAATAGTCAGTAAAATTGATTTTAGCTAAACAGCTTATTCCTTTTCTTTATATTATAGTTCATTTGGATAAAGAAGCAAGCATGACTCTCCACTTATTGGAAGCCAGGAAAAAAACAATTGTGTACACTAGAGATGTTTCCTTTTGCTACATTTGCAGCCCTGGTGACTGTGACATAAATCTGTTGAGCCTTGCCATTGCTTATCTGGGTTCCAAGAACATCCAATGCTTGTCTGATGTTAAGTTTTACTGCCCATGAAAGCAAACATCACCTCTGTCATGGCCAGTTAAATAGTATCTTTTCAGTGGACTTCTGCATATCTGAAACCCACCCATCCAAAGCCAAAAGTAATGCCAGGGGGAAAGATTTTATTCTGCCATGTTTCTTACAAGGGAAGATCAAGGGTCAACTTGATTCATAAAATTATGGCAGTCATTTTTCAGCTGGCTGAGAGACTTCACAGATCAAAAAATACAGTGGCTCCTAAATGATTTCTGATATGCACAATTCTAGTGTTTTTTATTCTCAGCATGTGGTACAAAGCCTGCCAGAAACCATCTTTGTGGCTATTGACAGGCAGATGAGAAATCATCCACGATAGTTTCCTTCATTTCTCTACAGGCTGGTCATCCATTTAAACTGCTTAATGTGAGTTCCTCTCAAAGCCTGCTTTGTGCATGCTTTTCACTTACATTTTGTTCTTCTCTTTCAGTGTGGTGCCCACCTTGGGCACATTTTTGATGATGGGCCTCGTCCAACTGGGAAAAGATACTGCATAAATTCGGCTGCCTTATCTTTCACACCTGCGGATAGTGGTGGTGCCGCCACCGAGGGGGGCAGTGGGGTCGCCAGCCCCGCCCGGGCCGACAAAGAGGAGTTCTAGAGTAATGGAGAGTGATGGAAACAAAGTGTACTTAATGCACAGCTTATTAAAAAAATCAAACTTGTTTATCTTAAATAGATATATTTTTTCAAAAACTATAAGGGCAGTTTTGTGCTATTGATATTTTTTCTTTTTTGCTTAAACAGAAGCCCTGGCCATCCATGTATTTTGCTATTGACTAGATCAAGAACTGTTTATAGCTTTAGAAAATGGAGACAGCTTTGTGAAACTTCTTCACAAGCCACTTATACCCTTTGGCATTCTTTTCTTTGAGCACATGGCTTCTTTTGCAGTTTTTCCTCCTTTGATTCAGAAACAGAGAGTTCGTGTCTTCAAAAGTGAAAATAGAGATCTCTGCAATGCAGAGACCAGAGCTGGGATGTGCAGGGCATGGAGACCTGCAAGACATGTGGCCTTGAGGCCTTTGCACAGACTCACCTAAGATAAGGATGGAATGATGTCTTAATAACACTGCTCAGCTTTGTGGAAAGTTTGAGCTAAGGTCATTTTTTTCTCACTAAAAGGGTGTGAAGGTCTAAAGTCTTTCCTTATGTTAAATTGTTGCCAGATCCGAGGGGGTATACTGAATGCTGTGGCAGAGAAGTAAACATTACCTCACTGTTAGGCCTTTATTTTATTTTATTTTCCATTGAAAGCATTGGAGGCCAGGCGCGGTGGCTCACACCTGTAATCCCAGCACTTTGGGAGGCCGAGGTGGGTGGATCACTTGAGGCCAGGAGTTCAAGACCAGCCTGGCCAACATGAGAAAATCTCATCTCTACTAAAAATGCAAAAACTAGCTGGACATGGTGGTGCATGCCTGTAGTCCCAGCTACTCCAGAGGCTGAGGCAGGAAAATCACTTGAACCTGGGAGGCAGAGGCTGTAGTGAGCTGAGATCACACCACTGCACTCCAACCTGGGCAACAGAGCAAGATCCTGTCCAAAAAAGAAAAAAAAGAAAAAGAAAATAGTATTGGAATGTAAGACAACTATAAAATATTGAGCCCCACTTGTTCTAAAATTAAAAAAGAACACCTGCCCATTGCCTTTTTATAAGTCCTTCTTTCTACACCTAAAAGCAGCTGCAGCTGGAAGCGCATTTTGGTAAATTCCACTGTGTAAAATAAAAGATTGAGGACAATGCACTTCATCAAGGCAGCAGGAATGACAGAGAGCAGAGAAGACCAAGGATGAAGTCTTGGGTACTGAAAAATTCAGTGCTGGGCTGAAAAACAGACAGGACACTACAAGTAACAAACAGAATCCAAGTGGGGGCCCTTGTGCACAGAGCTCCAGGAGAGACATGGGGATTCACATGGAAAGCTAAAACAGAAGGTCAAGTTTCATACTCAGCATAATCTTCTGTGTGACAAGGGACAAGCCATTTAGCCTCTCTGTGCCTATTTCTTCATGTATAAACTGGGACTCATAATACTTGTAAAACGTATTGATACTCTCAGGGCAAATTCACGGTATTGCTAGATAATTGAGATCAGTGTTGTAAAATTAAACTGATCTGGTTCTAATTGCCTCAAGGCCAAAGCCCAGGCATTTGAAATGGAAAGAAGCAGAGAGGAGGCTGACTTAGCTGATTGGTATGGAAATAGTTGGGCCAAGAGCCAGAATTTCCCTTTGGAGCAACACAGCTAGTTTTACTTTGAGAAGCTCTGCTCAGTTGCTTTATAACATTGAGTCTGGTGGAATGAATGTCACTGTGCACAATAAAGTTTTCACAAGTATAAACAATGGTGATATTAGTCAACATTGCCATAGCCAGGTGTGAAGGTATGGTGTGTGACGAATGTACATTGTGTTTGTAGCTTTGAATGCTAATCTTGAATTGTAGTTTTTTTAAAAAAATTATTTTTGTAAATCTTTGAAAGCTTTCCTTGTAAGCACCAGGACAAAAAAAAAAAAAAAGAAAAAGAAAAAGAAGAAACAACGAGAAATTAGAATGAAAAGCTGTGACAAACAGTGTCAATGTGGCCATGTCCACATTCCTCCATGTCTCTCTCTACAAGCACCTCCCTAAGAAGCCCGACATCCCGGTGGCCTCTTCATAGTCATGTACGCTGCAATGTTGTGATTCCAGATAAGCCCTACTCTTATCTGGATGTTCACATAAGAGATTTCTATCTGAGCATCCAGACACCCTCTCAGCTCCAAGACATTCACCCCAGGCCCTGGGTTCACTCTGGAATTCATAGGCTTCTAGAAATGAGGTATAAAACTTAAGACCAGACCTCAGCCATCAACATCCAGACCATCCTACAAGTCTTTCCAAATCTCACAGAAAAAGCTCCAATATTTCCCAACGACCCCAGGATTCTATGTTGGGGTGGCCACAGAAATGGGTCTCTCAGGGCTTTGCCATAGCCTGCCGCCCATCCTTCAGAGGCACACACAGCACCTCTCGGCTGCTCTAGCTCTGTGGGATAGCCTCCTCAGGAGTCCCTGGGATGCAGGCCACAGTGTCGGGGCAGACAAGGAGGGTCAGTGAGAGGCTGTACTGATCCCTCTCCACAGAGACTGTATTGCCATTTTTCCTTCATTTTTATTATAGAACTTAACATTTCACTCAAAAAAACCCCTCTTTTTCTAATCCTTAGTCTTTGTTTCATGGAAAGCCAGTTTTTCTTCTACCACATTTTCCAGGATCAACTTTAAGAAAAATGCAACATCCATTGAAAAAAAGTGGGGTGTATGCATGTGGTTTAATTCCAGATTGCTTTTGGGTTTAAGTGGTATCAAATTTCAGTATATTTCTCTCTTATGTGAAAGAAATATATTACTAAAACGTCAGTGAGCAATAATGTCAGCTGTCGAGCACTAGATTTATTTTTGCAGGATATGGAGTGCAATGAAGTGAGTCAATATGGTGAGGTGTATGTGATCTGTGGGAGTTATGCCATTTAACATAGGAAGTGTATGGGACTTTCCCTCTCTGCACTCCAGCTCTTACTGTACCGTTAGAAGATGCAGGATTCTGTTGGTGTGCAAAAAGTACAGACCTACATTCAAGCAGAATGGATCTAAAGAAAGCAGCAGTATCTGTTGTATTAGAGAACAGCCCCATGTGTTTCTTAGATGCATTTGAATTCTTAATGCAAATGATGTAGCAATTTGAAAACTTCTCCATGCTAATTGTGTTTAAAATGTCTTGCTTTAAAAAAAAAAACCAAAAAAAAAAAAAAAAAAATGGTGAAGGGGATTATCTTTTGTTTTGAAGGTTAAATATTATTTTTGCCTTAGATAGCTTTGTAGTAATTTTTCTCCAGACAGTTCAAAACTTTTGAAAAAAGATATGACTTTTCATTAAAAACCCTTTTCCAATGTTTATTGTATACAAGAATTATGCAATAAAATTTCTTTATAAAAATATTTTCCTCTTTGCTTCCTAAAGACTCCTCTTATTTTCAGCACAGATACATGGACTGCAGTTTGTAGTAGACTGCTCTGTCTGCCTCCTTAACCAGCTGACAAGTCTGCAGTCTGTATAGAGAGCCTTTCATCTGATGCAGTCTTCGGAAGTTGGGTCTCTCACAGTAGGGTCAAGTCCAACTCTCCATACCACAGGCCCTGGGAGAGGTCTCCAGGGATTTGAAAGACTAGAGGAAAGGGAAATATTTCCAGAATTACTCAACCTTCACCTCACCTCAGCAAAATCTTTAGCAGCTTGTGTATGTTTCTTGCTTAAAATATGGACTTGGGAGTTCCACCATGACAACTCTGTGGGTAAAAATGCAGGAATGATACCACACTGATGCCTTGGCCTCTGTTAAAAAAATTGATAGGAAACTTATACTACCATGGAAAGTTGGTCTCTAGGGCAGTATATTAGGAGGTTTCCATTGCTCACAGATGATTTCACGTTTAAAAGCCATCTCTACAGATGAGTTTTGGTATTGTATTATTTGTTGTTGAAATGTTGAGTTGTTTTGTTGATTTATTTACTTTAGGGGGCAGAAGTGGAGTGATGAAGACTTTTGTTCTTCAGCCAGTTTTTTAAGTCATATTCCTGGGATCTTAAAATTCACAGGCCAGCGACTTTATGTAGTGTATCTTAGAACACTGCTTTTCATAGTGTAGTCCTCAGGCACTGAGGCATCAGCATCACCTGGGAACTTGCCAGAAATACAAGTTCCCAGGCCTCATCCTGGACTTCCTTAATCAGAAATTCTGGGCTGGAGCCTTAGCAGTCTGCACTTTAGCAAGCCCTCCCTGTGATTCTTGTGCTTATTCAAATTTGAGAACCGCTACCTTGGAACTTTTAGTGAGAAAACTTCTATTACTATTAATTTTAAAAGCATTTATAGCTGACCCTCAAAAATGGCTTTTTCATCAGTAATTTTCTTTCTATAGGGATGCGTGGATAGTTTTCCCAAAACATCATGCCTTTTAGCTCTTGTTATTCCTCACTGCCTATTTATCTTGTCCTGGAGGACTAGCCTGTCCTCATTCACTAGCACCACCTTAAACTATTTGCATTTCTGGGCTGAGCCTGGGCTGCCCAATGGTTCTTCCCAGTGCCTTTCTAGAACCACAGGACGTCCATGGCAGGGTTCATCACAGTAATGCCAAGAATTAGAGAGCAGACCTCAGTGTATAAATTTACATATCACCTTTCCCATCTCTTCCATTTTCTTATACCTCTACCTTTCAACATTATCATCATGTTTTTTTTTTAACCATTTAAGAGATTTCTTCAAAGTTGCCATATACCCAAATCTTCAACTCTTTTTTTGTCAAAAAACAGCGATTGTTACCAAGATCTTAACAACAAAATGACTTTTAGAAAATACTGGCATTCAAAAAGTTTGAATTTAAAAACTCTGTTTGAGACAGGCTTATTAGCACCCCATACCAGTTTCAAACTCTCATTGTGCTTTACACAGCAAATCTAAATTTCACCATATTTTGATGTGGGGCCTGAAAAAATGCCCTCTGCCGTGGAAGAATATTCTGGCAAGAATGCTTTCCATCCAATTACTCCCAGAGGTCAGTCTTATGGGCCAATTTTGGAGGGATTGGCCTGAAGATGAATGTAAGCTCTAAGCAAGGCAGCTCTGACGCCCCTTGCCCAAAACACCTGAAAGGCTGTCCTGTGGGTATAAGGAGCTTTTATGGAACCACCATGTAATAAGACCATGGTGACCTGAAATTTAGGAGCCAAATTGTATTCCCAGCCTACATGAGATTTTCCCAATTTGTAGTTGATTACAAAACCATACCAACTTGTCCGATTATGGATGCCAGGGAGTTTCTTTACTTTTTTTTTCTTCCTTTCCTTTCCCTCCCCTACTCTCCCCTCCCATCCTCTTCTTTCCTTTCCTTCCCTTTCCTTCCTTTACTTTCCTTCTTTCCTTTCTTTCTTTCTTTTTTTGGAGCCTCACTGCTCTGTTGCCCAGGCTGGAGTTCAGTGGTGCGATCTTGGCTCGCTGCAACCTCTGCCTCTCAGGCTCAAGTGATCCTCCCGCCTCAGCCTCCCAAGTAGTTGGAATTACAGGCAGCTGGCTGTAATCCCACCATGCCTGGCTAATTTTTGTATTTTTAGTAGAGATGGGATTTCACCATGTTGGCCAGGTTGGTCTTGAACCCCTGACCTCATGTGATCCAGCCACCTCAGCCTCCCACAGTGCTGGGATTACAGGTATGAGCCACTGTGCCCAGCCAATGAGCCTCATTCTTATTTCAAGGTTTTCAGCTCTCCTGCCTGCATAGTCTACCCCGCTATTCCCAGTAAACATATACTCATTCACCCTTATTGTCTTGCAGGTTAGGCTGGAACCACACAGATTCTCCAGAATAAGCAGAAGGACAAATCAGTCAGTAATTAATAAGTGCTTAGTTCAGCACAACCCTGACATGGGCAAGGTATGGAAGTATAAATAACTAGAAAGCAAAGTAAAAGTGGTTATTTGTATAAAGACAGCCCAGGAGAAAGTCATAATTGTTAAGTTGCAGTTGCCTCAACTTTATTCCCAAGGCGTTCAATCTCACCACATGGTTTTTACCTTAATAATACTTATTTACCTTAATAATACTATGGATTGAATAACCTCTAGCAATAGGTCAGGCACTTGATCCATTATTTCTACTGTGAGGTAGGTACTCTTATCCCCATTTTACAGATGATTGTGCTAACAGCTCAAAACAGTTAAGACAAATCACATAGCTAGTCCATGGCCAAGCTCAAATTGAAATCCAAGTTCCTGTGACTTCAAACACTGTGCCCCTAACTCCACTCTTGGCTGCCTCCCATGTAGGACACTCGCTACTTGGACAGTTTTCAGCTGTGGTGGGTTTGACCCTGGGGGGAGAAATGTATATATCATTTCTTCATTTCTTATTTGCTTCAAGTTAACTGCAATTCGCTCGGCTCTTCCAAAATATATTCTGCAGTGTGTGCAATTTAAGAGGGGCCTAATTAAGCCATCTTGATTTTCTTACACTTTGGTGACAGAGAGTTTCATAGTTTTCCTCAAATGGCTAACTTTAACACTCCTAATAATTCTTTTTTTTTTTTTTTGATTAAAACAATGTTTTTGCTTCAATCAATTTTGGAGTGCAAGTGGTAACACAGATGAGTTCTACAGTGGCAAATTCTGAGATTTTAGTGCACCCATTACCCAAGTAACACTCCTAAGAATTCTAACTATCATAACAAAAAAAGTCCTATTCTGGATTCACATGGAGGAAAATAAAAAGAATAGAGGTGATACTAAAGATGCATTTAACCCAAATACTCAGTTTCTGGCATAGCTGATCCAGCTCATCTTTTCTCATCCAGAAAGATATAAAGCCCAGGTGGTGGGGGTGGGGTGTCTTTACCAATGTCACTAAGTCAGACTCTTCCGTGGGAGGGTGAAGGAGGATGACAGGTTCCTGAGAGCTCTCACCACTCTCAGAGCATGTCTACAGGACATCTGATGGACCTATCCCAGGAACTGACGGAATAAAGAGGTTTGTTTCTGTTTGATTACAATTCATGACAGATTGATAACTGCAGAGGCATTCATACTTGGGGTTTTGCCCCCCTTCTCTTTAACACCACAGCTTATAAGGCTACTCAGGCATCTGGTGTTTGTTAGATGGCTGTGTGCCATCATCCTTATGATTGCTGGGGAACATCTCCTAGCATTCGAGCAATTGGAGGAAAGACTATGGGGCACAAAATGGCCTCATCCGGTTTACATCTTCATTACTGCGCTTCTCACATACCTGCTTACATCTGGAAAAAATCTCCAGGTAAACCTCTTGGGTTCTTTCTCTGAAGAGTAACTGCAATTATTAGGGCTATACCCAAATTCAGCTTAGAATAGGTATGTGGCTGAACTTCAGCCAAAACCCTGTGCCTGTCTAAAAGAGATTTTCTTTTTTTACATCCAATTACATAGGAGGGGCCTTTTCCCCATACATGGTCAGTGGGGTTCCTGATTCTTTATGCCCAAGTCTTCCATTTACGTCCTTAGGGAAAAGGCAGGGAAACTTTAGGGAAGAAACAGAGATCTCTTCAAATCTCCTTAGTGTTTTTTTCTTCACTACCAAATCCCAGAATTCTAATATGGATTGCAGATCATGCCAAAATTTTACAAATGCTAAATCTTTACCCCACTAGGTACTATCACAAACTTTACCCTACTAACAGCATCAAGACCAAAGAACAACAACAATAAAAAATGCAAGCAAAACCAACTGCCATCTCTATTGCCAGCCTATCCTTCTGGTATATGAAGTTCATACATTCAGCATGATTTATTGAGCACATACTAGGGTGCCAGGTACCATACTTGGCACAGGAAACCCCAAATTGAATAAGACTCCCTGTGTGCTGCAATTAGCTGGAAAAACAGAAATGCAGCTAATTATGCATAATACTGGCATGTCGCATAGGGTTATGCAGAAGTGTAAATAAAATGTAATGAAAACTCAACTGGGAGAAGGATGAATTAACCTCCCCGAGAAAAGTGATGAAGCAGGGAGAGTGGCAGTCAAGGAAGGCTTCACTTACAGATGAAAGTGCAGCTGGGTCTTGAAAAATATGTGGTCTTTCACATGGAAGGGAAGAAAACAAGGTGGTTCAGAGAAAAAGTTGGGGTGTGATCTGTAACTTTTTCAAACACATTTCTGGTTATTTTGAGAAGTAGTGGTTGTCTAAGATCATCTCAGAAGTTTTGTTTTTCATTTGCTTCACCCCCTCTCCTTTTTAAGGCATTCATATATATATATGTATGTGCATATATCCAGGCACATCTCATCTTACTGTGCTTCACTTTATTGTGCTCTGCAGATCCTGCATTTGTTACAAATCGAAGGTTTATGGCAACTTTGCATTAAGCAAGTTTTTGGTGCCATTTTTCCAGCAGCATGTGCTCACTTCA